TTACATAATATCAATATATGATCTCGTCCCGCTTGCACTTGAATGGCAACTACCGGATTTCAGTCGCGCAACAGCGTGGGACCAGTTTTTGTGCACCAACCACAACAAAGACATGCCTCCAGAATCTGAATCCACAAAGATGGGAGTCAAAGTATTCAGAGGAAATAAATACGCCGGCAGTAAATACCTAAGTTGAACAATAGTGTTACGCATGCCGTTCAAGTTACCGACTCCATGTAGAACCAGGTTCGAGAAAAGGTCAACACTCAAACCAAATAAGTATTGATGAGTCACCATGAAAAAATTAAAACAATATACTTACGTCCTTTCACATCCGCAATCTTCGTTCCATTATTCGAGAATGGGCTTTAAAAGGATTTTTGTGTATGGATTTCTTTTATACTTTTATGTAATTTACATAATTACATTTTCTTTTTAAAGAATATATAATTATGTATACACAATTTTCATTATTGCAAAAAGTGTGGAGCCGTAGATATCAAGTAGGTTTTATTTACAGCTCGGCCCATGGGAAAGCGGAAGCCCTTTAACGTTTATTTTTTCCGCGTGTGAGTTCCCCATGGGATACATAACAGGTGCACCTGTGTAGCAATTTTTACCCAAATCCTTTTAGCTACTTAGACTCGTGTATTATAATATAAATATGGTACAATTATGGATACTAACGAAAAAAACTCGTAAGAACACCTTTTCGTTCGGTTCTCACATTAATTTGTCTTGTTCTAAGTATATAATGTATAAATTGAAAAAAAATCTTTGAAAATATACAAAAAATAAATTTAAAAATGAAATAAGATGAATGACAGCTACTTGAAGTTTAAATATTTACTTTGTAAATACTTACATAATAAGTAAGTAAAAATGCTGCCGTTTCCTTACTGTGAGGTATTCAAATTTAATAACGCTATTTTTGTATGCGGACTTCAACCATGTTACTTTGATTCTCCGAAAAATTCACATGTGATATTTAATTTTTTCAATTTTTTTTTACTACGATTTATTTAATTGTCTTATTTTAGTTTGGAAATCCATTAATTCTTTCATTAAAATTACAATCTATCTATTAACTAACTACTACCTTGGTTACAACGTCGACAGCTTACCGTGGATTGAAAATAGTTAAATATAGAATAGAATAGAAAAAAATGTTCGTAACGTTCGTCGTCGTAACGTTTTAATTTATTCAAATTAATATATAGAATATTACAAGTTCCATTTACTATAATGGTACTATATGGTATAATGGCTTATTTCAGAAAAAAATGTTTGATTTGCAGTTTATATGTCATAAAAAAATTTTAGACTGCAGTAAGTTTATAAGCAATTATTCATGACATTTGATGCTCCGTTACCCATCAATCTCGTAGGTATTGAGACACTTACCACACAAGAAATACTGGGAAAATCTAGTTTCCGAGGATACCGAACATGGCGTTTACAACAATTTGCTCGCTGATAAGGATGAGAAAATGGTTTTTTCATATGAATAATTTTTGTTTCGGAAAAGTAAATTAATAGAAGATTTAACGGTATATTATAGGTTCCATGTAAAACTTAAAAACTGCTGTCCAATCACTTACAATGCTTAAACATTTTTTTAGGAATAATTGGTACTTATAATAGCACTCATTTTTTTTCGCAACATATGTTTTTGACGTTATCGTAATATCTTTTGGGTACGTAAACTTTTAGTTAGGTGCAGAAGGCAGTACCGATCTTCGAGTTAGCGATAAAGACCGGAATTTTCAGAAAAAGAACCCGCCCGGACCACCCAAATACCCAGTTGCCGGCTCTGCATATTTATTGTTTTAATTAAAGCAACATAACTCAGCTCCTCTCCCGAACGCGCCTATGTGACAGCTCGTAATTCTAAAGTTTAGCTACTGAACGCATTACAGAGAGGTAACGAAGCTTGTGATCGACAGGATATATTTCGTGCTGTACTTGTACAGGTGTAAATTCTTGAAAGCATGTGTATATGGTCTCAGATATCTATAATTTTTTCCTTCTGCACTGAATGCTTTTGACTTTTGAAAGAACGGTGTTTTTGACGTTAGTTTGGGGAAAGCGAAACAATCTAAAAAAACTTTATACGTAATACCAATTTAAGTAAGGTACAAATTTTATATTTGCATGTAATTGGATATATAATATCTTTTTCGTTAACTATTTACATCTTTATTACTCATTATTTGGTAAAGAAAAAAAAGTATGTAAACTGTAGGTAAAAATGATATCATGTCTATTGTTATCTACAACTATAAATAAAATTAAAGTGTCCGTTTACAATATAGAAATAACTGGCTTTTTTTAAGCTCAGGAAGTTATTTTATACTGTATAGACATGAGTAGGTACTTAACCTTTTTTTACTGTCTGTTTGGTTTTTCCGGTCTCAGCTTCGATATTTCTGAACCAATTTCGATGAATTTTCACAAACAAATATAGACATCAATGCCAATAAAGATCTAGGTTATATTATTCCTTAGGACTTTAAAGAAATCGAAAACCAATAAAATAAATGAGTTTTGATGATTATCTTTAATCTAAATGTCGCCACTATCTCAGATACCACTAGGGCGGTACCGGGGCGCGTTACTAGTTTACAATATAAATCTGTTTCAAATGTACTTAAAAAATTCAATGCTTAGACACAACAACATTAGACTTCACAATTCATAACAAAAGTTTTGCTAAATTAATAACATTAAAAAACCTAAGTATAATATGCAAAAAAAAAGGATTTTTATTTCATTATAACAACTCCATAACGGCATTTTTGTTATAATTTTATCATTTGATGTAATAACTAATAGGTAATTTACTTTGACGTTAGTTTACAATTAAAATAAATGCACATCAAGCAAGCGCTACCATGTTGTTTTTCGCAAATAAAATGAAGTCTACAATACTCCTGAGAAAGAATCTAAATAGACCTCACGAATCACGTGGAGTACAAATGCACATACATAACATAAAACATAACATAAACACTCACGCCTGTCACCCAGAGGGGTAGGCAGAGACTACAGACTTCCATTTGGCACGATCCTGACACACCTCTCTCGCCTCCTACACATCCATACACCTACGCATGCATGCTCGTCGGTTAAGGGTACTCCTAATTTGGCCCGTTTTCAATAAATCGCCAATTTGGTCGATAAATTTTCGCCTAAGACGTCCCTTTCCGACTCTGCCATTCACTTCTGCAACATAAATTTTCTTTGTCACTCTTTCCTCATCCATTCTTTCTACATGACCAAACCACCGAAGCATTCCTTTCTTAATCCTGGTCACAACATCATCTTGCAAACCACACTCTTCTCTTATTACACAATTTTTCACCCTCATTCAGATTCAGCCCTAACATACTCCTTAACGACCGCATTTCTACTGCATTTATTCTACTCTCGTGCTTCTTCTGCCATACCCAACTTTCACTACCATACGTTAAAGTAGGGACCAACACAGCATTGTGAATTGCCATACGTGCCTTTTTTGACACATTTTGACTCTTCACAATAGAGTGCAGGGCTTCATTTATTCTGATATTATATGTACATGTGAATACATCCGAAAATCATTTCTCTTCTTCTAGAACAGGTGGAGTGAAAGTAGGTAATGGTGCTGCAAACCGAAGTTTATAACATACATGTTCTAGTAAAATATGAAATAAAACTATATTTTTATAGTTGGGAATATTTTTATTAACAGATTGTTATAATTTTTTAAAGTCGCAGGAATTAATATTCAGATAAATTAAATTGGTTGTTGCGGCTTTTACTCAGGAGCCCTGGTCGTACCTAACTACAGTATATTTTACAATTTATTTTGTCGACTACTATTCTATTAACTACAAAATGAATAGTTTATTTCGATTATTTGCCTTTGCTTTAATTATAATTCTAATATTATATTGTAAATTACTTTATTAATGTATATTAAATTTATACAAAAAAGGAACTACCAGTGCGTGTACTTAGCTGGAATAACATTATAACATAATTCTTAGGCTACTTAAATGTGCTATCTGCCAAACTTATACATTTTTCGGTATAATATCCACATGTTTACAAAATTTCCTTCATCTGACATAATTACGCCTTTATTTTAAATAACTAATAATTATTATTATGCTATGGAAAAGGATTCACATCTTTCTACACTGACATACACTAAACCTTATGCTACATTAAATATTAATGTTCAATAAATAAATAGTATATATTAATAAAAAAAACGTTATTTGTCGTTGTTTTTTTTTTCGAATTCTATAAATACGTAAAACGTCCATGCAAAAAAAATTTGCAAACAACGCGCTTATTGCTTGTATTATTTAAAAGGCAATAAGCAATAAAATACTAGAAATTCATTATAATATTATTTCATTCTTCATCTACAGTTACAATCGTGTGATGCCCGAAATTCTTACAATATAAAGAGCAACAAAAATCCGCATAACATATAAATAGTGAAAAAATCCTGAAATATGAATTGGACGGAGATTTATAATTTTCTTACAGCGTTATGTTATAAGTTATAACCATGTAGGAAATTTTATTATAAATTTTATTATGCGCAATTCAATAGAAATTTTAAATCTTTATCAAAAACAAATATACATGCTAATTATTGTTAAATGGATTTCGTCAAAGAATTCGCATTTATCAAACAAGTTTTGTAGAATTTTGTTTTTGACATTCTATTTATTAAAATAATAATTTATTTCGTTGTAATCCTTATAACTGTCATATTCGGATTATGAAATTTTCTAAATAATAAAACTTTTATTTTTATTATTAGGTTGTGTATAGCAATTTCGTTTCACCTGAAACCGTTACAGTAGACATTGAAATATCGAGCCATCAACACTAAACTGTCTCTAATAGCTTTCTATACGATTTATTAAGAGCGCCTGTCGCGGTTGCACTTCTTATTGTAATGTCCGATTTCACAGCGCTCATAAGGCGCAAAATAGTGGCTATGGGCAATCCATGGAGTTGGGGCTTGGAGGACCACCCATAACGCTGTACGGAGGACTGTGAGGAGGTAAAGACATGGGCCCGTGGTACATGTCCATCTCTAGCGACGCATCTGGCGAGCATTTCTCCGCCATTTTGTTTTCCTGCTTGGTCACCATTCGCCGCCATTTCGCGCGAGCGTTCTGAAACCACACCTGCGAACAAAAAACATACGGTTGGTGTCGGCCAAGAGAATAATGCAAGCGCGCCGCATTGAAATGTCGCGAGCAAAATGAAAAGTCGCTTCGCCATAAAAAGAATACGAGTCTCACAGCGAGGCCAAACTAAAAAAAGTGTAGCGCTGAGTTTAAAGTATTCGAATGTTCCTCCATGATACGTTGACGTTGTTCTGGGTACCTAATTAGCTTCCGCTGGAGTCCGGCCTCGTTTTAAATGCGGAAGCTTAAATTTTTTCCTTTAAACTTTTCTGTATACCGTTTTTTAGGGCACGTGAAAACGTGCCACGAGCCTGTCATTGTAGGTTGCATTCCAAAGTGCAGATTTTATCTGTAATTAACATAATTAGTGCGGACGAGCAGCGTAACGGCGCTGCCTCTGGTGTCGGACTGCGCTGCGCTCGACAATGTCCAGCTGACATTTAGCAACCCAAACACAACGCAAGCACAACATTCCCTTACGTTGTTCCCCGTCATAGCAATTACTTGCAAGCATAAATTTATCGTTCTGTTAAATTGTAGACTGTCTTACGCAACGTATGGGTTTTCTTCTTACTTGTAATATTATTGTTTTTTTTTATAATGAATCTGTACGAAATTGTTATTTTATTGTTTTAATTATTATGTGTGAGTTTCGTAGTGATAGGCGATTATATTTTCATACGTGGTAGAGCCATGCTGCAGTTATATTAGTAGTATAGGTAGTTGTAGGACGAATGCGTCCGCTCGACCGGGTAAGGACCACGCTCTCACAGAATACCGGCATAAAATAGTAGCTTAATGCTGCTGTGTTTCGTATGGTGAGTGTAGAAAACCGGAGACCTTTTTACTGGAAACGAGGCATTCCATCTTCGTCCTCACTGGTGACAACGCATCTGTATTTTGAATTGTAATCGAGAATAAATGTAGATGTCTATGGGCCTCAGCAACCACTTACCATCAGGTGTACTGTGTGCTCGTATGTCACTATCCTATAAAAAATATTTATGTGTGCAGATTTCCCCCCGCAAAACTGATAATTCTATGTTGGAGATAAACGCTATAACTACTTCCTTCTGGTCCGCCGGTGGCCCGCGTTGCTCTACGGTGCATACGACATGCAATTAAATTGTAAGGTCTCATAAAGATCAAAACAGTTTGAATAACAAGTGCTGTTGCAATATCAGTCATAATGTTTTTATAAAATTGAAGTGATCAAACTTGCAGTCCACCCGACAATAAGTGGCTACTGAAGCCACATTGACACCAGCAAAGAAACTTCAAGCAAAGAACGCCACAGATGTGTATGCGATGCTGAGTAGTAACACTACTGAGGGCTGGGATAAAATGCCTCATATTCCGTAGGAGTATTGGCATTGGTTCTCTATCCCTTTCATACCGAAACATAGCAATGAGAGCACTGCTTCTTGGAGGAGAAATAAGTGAGGGAATGATAACTAACAGAACACACTCCTCGACAGGAAAGGAGTTATGTCATCTGACAAAGGTTTCACCACCTGTTAAAAATTAACATCTACTTACTTACGCATTATACTATTAAATATTAAACATTAAAATATTTAACGTGAAATGTTCCCAGTGCGCGCAAATACTATGGCCAATAACGTGCAGCCATATGATAGCCCCGCCCCACGCGTCATGGCCGCTACGGATGCTGCCTAATGCCAAATTTAGATTAGCGTCTATTTTTCACGTCACGTTTCACGGAGTAAAAAAGAATGTCTTGTGTTAAAAATTGAATCTCCTTTTTTAAGCTATTAATGTAATCAAGATATTATCTGTCGTGTATAAGTTGACGTTTTATATTTTATACTATTTTATATACAATGCTATCTACTGAGACGCGCTAGTCTATTATAGAAGTTATTCTTATTAGTATATTCTATCGCTGGTTTTACATGTTAGTATAATAATGTATTTTCTTCTGTGTATTAGTATGAACAAAATTTAAAAGGGTTTATTTATTTTAAAGAACTAATTACCAAACACAACCCATTTCTGTCAATCGTTTCATAAATTCATCATAACCTGAGAAACGAAGCGATAGTGTCACAAATTGAACCGATGAGAAATGGGCGAAAAGCGCGGGAGACGACATGCGCGCGACCACGATTGATGATCCGATGTCCACACATACCGGTGCTGTCAAAGTGAGATAAGCTCTGAGCATGGTGGTCCCGAAGGAAAAGAATATCCGTTATTAAAGGATAACCCAGTTTAAATTTCGGTACTTTCACGTCTAGATTGTAATATTTAAAAACAAATACAGGGAAAAACTGTGAAGAACGTTTAAGAGTTTCACCGTCTTCGCTTTTCTTTTATGATGTTTTTCCTTCTTTAAATATGATTTGCCACATTTGATGTTTATCTTAATTTAATTTATCGCCTTTACTCGTACCTTACATTAACAAAATATTGTGTAATTTTACATAATATTTTTTAGGTATGATTATTTTGTATAACTACTGTTTTATTTCTTTTAAGATATATATTTATTTTTAAAATTACATTTAACACACATAGGTTCATTATTTTATTTTAAAATAAATTCCTTTAAAATTTTAACATATTATTAATATCATATATGAAAACCTAAGGAACTATCATAACTATATAGCCAAACCCGATCGAAGGTCGCAATGTTAAAACTAACGGCCAATGTCTCCCCCATGGACTCTATTGCCTCCGCCCATCTGTGAGTTAGGTAGACCAGAAGATCACCAGTTGACCGACCACGGCGAAAACCGTATTGGCGGTCACTAATCAGCTGGTGATCCTCAAGGTACCTCATGAGCTGGCAGTTTACAATGGACTCCATTGTTTTGGAGAACAAGGAGGTAATGGCGATAGGCCGGTAGTTGGACGGGTCTGAGCGGTCGCCTTTTTTAGGGATCGGGTGGACGAAAGCCGTCTTCCATGATTTTGGGACTACGCCTAGGGAGTAGGAGCACCGGAAAAGAGGCACTTAATTTATCGCCTTTACTCGTACCTTACGTTAACAAAATATTGTGTAATTATTACATAATATTTTTTAGGTATGATTATTTTGTATAACTACTGTTTTATTTCTTTTAAGATATATATTTATTTTTAAAATTACATTTAACACACATAGGTTCATTATTTTATTTTAAAATAAATTCCTTTAAAATTTTAACACATTATTAATATCATATATGAAAACCTAAGGAACTTTCATAAATATCTTTAATATTATTGTAATATAAAAGAAAAAATAAAAAGTTTAACTGTGAAGTTAATAAATAAGAACGAATAATCTACAAATAAAACTTTAATTTAAATAAATTAATAATTTATCGTATAGTGGTAGTGTAAGAATACCCACTACCTCAAATCATCCCGTGGGTGTCGTAATAGGCGACAAGGAAAACCAATCTGATGATGAGCAGCAGGGTCTTCCTTATAACCGCTAAAACTAAAACCCAGCTTACCAAGCTTAGCAACTATGGCAAATATCTCTCCTATGAGGCAATCTATGGGGGGAAGTTATGTTCAGGAGGGGACTTTAATACGTTGTTACAGTAGGGCCGATACTCATTTGCCGTTCACAGTTCGTTCTCGGTCCGGTCTCGGTCCGATTTATTATAATCTTGGTATAGGATATAGGATTCAAGCAAAACTTGACTGTTACGGATATGAATGCACACACATATTTTTTATTGATAATATTTTATCAGACCGAGATCGGACTGAGAACGAACTGTGAACGGCATTATATTGAGGATCGGCCCTAACGGTGATTAAAAAAAAACAATAAAAAAATAACAATTTCACTCATTCAGGTCTCAGTTACTGCAGGACATCTGCAAGTTGGTAGCGGTATAAGAGAATCTATCGTTTAATTTCATCTAGTAGACGTCTTAAAAGTCGGTTTTGAGGAATAGCAAAGAATCTCATGGCCTCTAATAGTAGCAATATTATCATCGCGTTTAGGCTAGACGTAGGTAAGATACCAGAGCAGCGACAGAAATATTTTTTTTAATGTACAGTAAAGGCAGCAACATTAAAGAAACGAAACGTCTAAAGTTATAATAATAACAATAACTAATTTATGAAAAACTTTATTGAGAAATAAATGTATTTTTTTTTATCTAGCACTGCGAGCGTCAATCCGCTAATCAAGCATGACAATTGTATACAAGAGTAGACTGCGACCAGATATAGATTAATAAGGGCTGATAGATATGAATAAGAGTTTCCTGGTCACGTTATTTTCTCTTAATTATAGAAAAACTTAGGTTTTATAATTTATTTAGAAAATAAAAAATACGCACGTAATAATCCTCACACGTTAGAAGGATTCGTTGGTATAATCTAATGCCAATAATCCTTGTCATGCGTAACAACTATGGCAAAGTTCTGACCCTTTAAAGCAAACTTTGTGGGAGACCTAGGTTTGGAAGTGGACTTTTGATACGCTCTGATTAATAAATGCCTCTAGGTATGTATATAATATTTAATTGATTTCTGAAAACAGCTCTAAAAGTATCGATAAAATTTTGTATTGAGATAGTGTTTACTTATCAAATGTATCTAGTTAGGTTTCGTCTCTCATCTTCTTCTCTCTTTTATAATATTTTTCTAGGTACTATTTTATTTAATACTTCTATTTAATTATCATAACATATTTTATTAAGTGTTCTTGGCTGAACAATGAATACTTTCGATTATTGAGAATTATTTTAAAATCACACTTTTAAAAGCACTTAAAGGTAAAGTAAACAGTGGATGAATTTTGTAGCGTTTACAAAAAAGCCGAATACAATCATTCGTTCAGCCGTTGAATTTGGGACTCTTGGTAACCAGTTTTGCAATTTCTATCTGAACAGATGCTTGCTAGATTTCGGTTTTCTCGTAAAACGCTGGTTTTAAGTTTTTTTGTATTTAATTTTCCATTACTTTTATATAATTAAAGAATACAACCAATTAACATACTAGAACCTTGAATGTTTACAGCA